AAAAAAGCGGTGAAGCGCATGTCGAGCGAGCCTGTCCAATAATATGCCTGCAATTGCCCACCTGCCTGCCAACTCAGCTGTGATTATGTTTATTTTTTCTTTTTTGTACTGTCTCTCGTTTTCTTTACAAATTTATGCATCTTGTCATTCAACTACTACTACACGTATGTGCAACATTTAGATTTGCTCCGAGGCATAAAGGGAGAAATACTTAGGTGAACTATAATTGTTGCCAAATAAGCGTTATAACTGTCAGTTCTCGGGTAGTTCGATAAGATACAATAAAAATCCTATTTTATAATGGTTTCTCTTTCGTTTACACGCGATAATATGTAACATAGTGCTATTTATAAATCTATGTGGGGTATTGATGCAACTATGTTTAAATATATAAAATATATACATATATATGTATATGTATATATATATATATATATATATATATATATATATATATATATATATATATATATATATATATATATATATATATATATATATATATATATATATATATATATATATATATATATATATATATATATATATATATATATATATATATATATATATATATATATATATATATATATATATATAGAGAGAGAGAGAGAGAGAGAGAGAGAGAGAGAGAGAGAGAGAGAGAGAGAGAGAGAGAGAGAGAGAGAGAGAGAGAGAGAGAGAGAGAGAGAGAGAGAGAGAGAGAGAGAGAGAGAGAGAGAGAGAGAGAGAGAGAGAGAGAGAGAGAGAGAGAGAGAGAGAGAGAGAGAGAGAGAGAGAGAGAGAGAGAGAGAGAGAGAGAGAGAGAGAGAGAGAGAGAGAGAGAGAGAGAGAGAGAGAGAGAGAGAGAGAGAGAGAGAGAGAGAGAGAGAGAGAGAGAGAGAGAGAGAGAGAGAGAGAGAGAGAGAGAGAGAGAGAGAGAGAGAGAGAGAGAGAGAGAGAGAGAGAGAGAGAGAGAGAGAGAGAGAGAGAGAGAGAGAGAGAGAGAGAGAGAGAGAGAGAGAGAGAGAGAGAGAGAGAGAGAGAGAGAGAGAGAGAGAGAGAGAGAGAGAGAGAGAGAGAGAGAGAGAGAGAGAGAGAGAGAGAGAGAGAGAAAGAGAATATTTTTATCTACATGTAAGATTTTTAACTTGTTATTGTTTCACTATTTATTCTTTAAGCATATATTTTGTCGAGTATAACTTTTAGTTAGATATATGTATACTGTTGCATTGATAGAATCTCATGTATATAACATACGAATATGCGAACTATATAGTAGGAATAATTTTACGAATCATTAGTAATGGTAATGAATTGTCAGAGACTTTCTATCATCATTTGTGAATTTGTTAAATTATTTGTAATAACGTTTTTTACATATATTATACAATATTTTATAGTGCCAAAAGAAAGTGTTTCAGAAATGATCATGTTTAATGGTATTTGTAGCAATCGGAGACATTTTCTTAAACGATCGAAATTTCTTCTTTGATATATTATAAATTTAGGGATAGCAATATACTTACATTTTAATCCCAGTAATAGCTCAAACGATGACGTTTACGTATATAAATGTATAAATCGTTCTTTTGTACATGAATACACATTTCTCCTTTTATGTCGTTTACACGATATATACAAGCAGTGTTTCCAGCACGTTCATAGAACTCATTTTAACGACTGCCTGTGTTTGTATAAGTAGACCATATCATAGTAAAACACTTTTCGCCGATATATTCTGTTAATGTTATGATTGTAATGAAATAGATTGAAAACCAATTAGATGTAATAAGATCAGCTCAATGACACTAAGTGTGACTGCGTGTCTGTTAAAAGTAAAACTGTTGTTTAGGTATTTCAACCTACTAAAAAAAGATCAGTGTATATGTATAGAACTATCGCCTCGGGTTTAAGAGTTTTACTTATTATATATACTTTATGATTATTATATTAAATAATTAAATGTGAGACAGATATTCTTCTAGGTAAGATTATTAAAGAGTATAATGATATTATGGCGAACTAACAGCTGTGTGTGTGTGTGTATTAAGAAGTAGCAACATATTTGTTACGTATTAACGTTTCTTTTTTTTTTATTTTCAACTGATACAGTTAAGTGTAGTATATTACTGTAATAAAAAAATTTTTATCTAGTAATGTTAATATTATTTAAGAAAGAGACATTGACGAAAGAAGCTTGACAATTCTATTCACAAATTATCTTTATATAGATATATTTTCTTGCAAATAGTGCGTTTTCAACAGATTTTATATCGATAATTTATCGTATCGAACTATCAATATACTTACAGTCATACAAATACAGAAAAATTTGCTACTTTTTAATAAAGCACGTATTCTTACCTACGATCGAAAGAAAGCAAAGTCCAAAATTAAAATATAGAGGCTCGATGGTGATTTTAATCAAAAGATAGCAAGAGTGTGGTGAGTATCAGTTGCAATTAATTGTGTGAGTCACAAGGCATAATTTAGCCAACCTATTCGCCAAAATCGTGTCAAACATTATTTCTATGCAATATATATTATCACTACACACGCATAATATAAATATATATTATATATATAATTTATTATAATGATTATTGTATAAATAAATATATAAAATAAATCACACTATCGTTATTGTTATCATATACCTACGACAGCTAAAATGTGCCTCGTTTTTAAACATGTAATCTCGAAATATACAGCACTGAGTGATTTCTTTCATGATTTAGAAATTATTGTATCGAATATAAAATAAACGCCAGACATACATATATAGAGATAATTACGTATTGCACAGTACTTTATGTGAATTCTTCGTCGCTATTTCTAAAATGAACAACGATTAAAATTACAAAATTATTGTCAGGGTGCCTACGTGCGCGGCGATCGAGAAGAAGATAACGCAGAAGAGAGACGGCAAAATTTCTAAGAAAGTTTACACGAACCGCCGAAGATAAGGTGTTGAGAAGTTATATCGAGAAATTCGGACTGTTAGTTTATGCGGCATGCAATAAATAATTTAAAGTTATAGCCCAAGTCTTGGTAAAGTTTTCGCGAAAAGTTGCCGAGAGTAAGATATCAAGAGATCGTGTTAAGAAATTCAAACTATTAATTTGGTACAGTAATGAATAATTTAAAGCCAGTTTACATGTCATGTCTCTGTCTCCCGAACCATTTACCTCTCTTATCTAGCCACACCTTTGGCGAATAATTAGATAATGTATAATTTTCCATTCGCGCGTATAATCTGTCAGTTTAAATTTCGTTCTTGTTTTATGCTGAATGTTTCTAGATACGATCATTGAAGCCAACTTCACGCAATTATACTAACAGCAAGTTCAAGCGTTAGCGTAACGGTATCATATATTGCAAAATTTTAAATTCATTTGACCGTTTAGATATATTATTATCCATGATTAACGCGATTAATTATCCGTCTTGTATAAAAATCGTAAGTATGAATCACAGTGCCTTGAGAAGATTTAGTTATACGAATTCAATGCGAAAAATATAGATTACAAAAGGAAGATAATTTGTTTTAGCCATCTACAAATTCAAAACAGAATATGACAAATACATTACCACAACAATTAGATTTAGTGAAAGCACTAGCTCTTAATAATGATTTGATATTGTTAGCAAATCAAATATTTGGCGAAGGAAAATGGAGTCATAATATTACTAGCCAAACAATAGGTGTATATTTTATGGACTTTATTAATCATTCGTTTGTCTTATTAATCTCTTTGTATATAAACTTTATGTACTGTATGTAAACTTTATTACTTATATATATTTTAGATTTTATTGAAACTTTCATGGGTAAATATGTTTGTGGATGCGTGACACTTCTCAAGGTCCAATTAAAAGATGGAACATCTCATGAGGACATGGGGTATTGTTACACAGAAGGAGCTATGAAAGGTTTAACAATACATTGTGCAAGAATTGTATGTTTAAAATTTGAATACCTTATATTTATGTATATTATAGAAGTAGGCTTCTTTTTATTATTTTATTCAGGGTTCTCTTACAGATGCCTTTAAAAGGGTATTGTCATGTTTTGGTAAAGAGATAAATACTGAGATACAAAATCTATCAAAAAAGTTATCAAATTCACATATGGTTGCCGATAGTTTATTTAACGGAACAGAAAACAGAACTTCAGAAATTAAAATGCCAGAACCATGTGCTCAATCGACTCCGTTTATAAGTAAAAGTGATAAAGAAAAACAAAAAACAGGTTTTTACAGTTTTTTGAACTTTTTATTTTTTATGAACTGAGCTATATTAAAATATTTGGTTGTATTATATATTTTTTTAGAGAATGTATTAAAATCAAAATGCCCAAATGTTGCGAAGGAGCAAGTGTCTGTAGAACAAACGGTAGCAAATTCTGTTGCACAACCGGAGCAGTGTATCAAAACTTCAAGCGAGATGAAAAGTCATGTACAGCCCGGTGTTCCGGGTAATCAGAAAGAGCAAAATAATATTGAAATAGGAGATTCAAAATCAGGTAAATTGGTTGAAGAGTTATCTGCTTACAGGCTAATTTTAAATGAAATGTAAATAATTTTTAGCATCTGAAGAAGAACTTTTACGAATGGAACGGAAACGAAAACAAATGGAGAAACAAGCAGAGTATAAGAGATTAATGAAGGAAAGAGAACAACAGAAGACTAATCAAAATAAAAAAAGCAGTACAAGATACTAGTCGATAAAGTTAAAAACTTTATATGAATAAGTCGTATAATCACAGTTGTATACACAGGTGTGGAAACTCCTGTGTTAAAGGTAGTTCCTGATTTGAGGTCAGAAGATTTTTTGTATTGTTTACCACACACATGATATTGAGTAGTTAAAACAATTTCAACAAGGTAATACATAGTGGAAGTAAACAAATTAATTTTTTTATAATTTGAATAATACTTTGTAAATAGGTATACATTATTTCTTCATAAACAATTCTATTTATAATTAAATTTCGCTTTAGGGGACACAACATTATGGCCTTGTGTCTCCTATTGTTTTAACTACTCTGCAGCAACGCCGCTGTTGGTGGATTGGAAAAACATCAATCGTCACATGATCGTGTCGTCCCCCTATTACGGGAGTTTCAGGACTTGTGTACACGACCGCGGTTATAGGTTATGGACTAACAAATGCCATATTGTAAACATGCCCATTTAATTCCCATTTCCATCGAGTGTAATTTGATTTTGTGCAAGAACACGTGTGTTATGTTCTGTGATATGTTTTACATAATAAATATTCATTCGGTGTTTCTATAATTTTAAGGAAGTACAGTTTTTAAATTTAATTATCACAATGACCGTGATGCAAAGAGTAGTGTAGGTATTTTTATGTAAAATAAGGTATTTTGGTTATGATTAAAATGCATAGGTTATATACGTATGTTTACAATTCACTTTTTAGTTTTTATGCATAATAGAACTTCTATAATTTTTATCGATTTTTATCAGATATCTGCTGAAAGTAAAGCTTTTATTAAAAAGAGAAAAAAAGTATCTTTACATCTTATCTGTCTGTTTTGTATATGTCATTGCTACATTAGATATGTGAATGCAACTTTTATTGCAGAAAGCCGACTACCCATAAGGGTAAACGAGCTATTTTGAAAAAAGAACCGAAATTAATAGAGGATGTTAAACAAACTCTGTGTTTCAAAGGTAAAAACACTTCACAGATAGTAGTAGATTTTATGAAAGATTTGGTAAGTTGAACTATATAAGATGGTAATGATAAAGTGTATTACCTGAATGACACGATGAATATTTGGTTTTAGTACGATTTAAAAAAGCCAGATGCACAGATAATGCAAAAGAAAAATGATATACTACCATTTGAGGATATAACACCCGTCGAAAAATTTTCTGTAAAATATAATGCACCGCTTTTTATGATCGCTTTGCATAATAAAAAACGTCCCCACAATTTAGTAATGGGAAGAATGTATGAACAAACATTATTAGATATGGTAGAATTTGGCATAGAAAATTATAAAGGACTGAAAAGTTTTAAAGTTCCCAAAATTGCAGAGGGAATAAAACCCTTATTAGTTTTTAATGGAGAGCTCTTTGAAAATAACTATGAGTTAAATAGAATTAAAAATTTGTTTGTGGATATGTTTCAAAGGGAACCGGTTGAAAAGATTAGACTTCAAGGTCTCGAACATGTTCTGAGTTTCACTGCTATTGACAATAAAATACTAGTACGCAGTTACAGGTACATCTCTTTCTCTCTTGATATTATTGTGTACCATTATATACAGCTCTTTCAAATGTAATTTATTTAATAAAATTATGTTTTAGGATACTTTTAAAAAAGTCTGATTGTAGAATACCAAGAATTGAATTAGAAGAAATTGGTCCAAGAGCAGATTTAATTTGTAGACGTACGAAACTTGCTTCTGAAGATTTGTTTAAGCAAGCTTGTAAAAAGCCAAAAGAGCTGAAGGTAATATCTTTCATTTTGGAAATAATGATTGACAGGAAAAATAATGATTTAGTATTTACTTTCGTTCATTTACTCATTTAATATACGATCACAGGTTAAAAAGAAGAAGAATATATCTGTGGACAAACTTGGAACAACCTTTGGTCGTGTGCATGTTGGAGCGCAAAATATTAATAGTATACAGACGAGAAAAATGAAAGGATTAAAAAAGACAATGGCAGAGAAGAAAGCTGGGTCGAAAAGGAAAAATATTGAAAATAGTGATAATGATAATTTAAAAAAATTAAAAACTAATAGTGATTCAGCTGATTAATAGTTAACTATTTATCTAAAATCAGCAAGGAAATAAATGTAAAAACAAGTATTTTCTTTTTTATTAAAAAAATGGTAAATTACCATTAAAGGTTTTTGCTGATTTTTATTTAATATTTCTTGATACTCCAACTAGTTTCAGTTTTGCAATCCTAGAAAGACAGAACTAGAATATAAAATACATAATTTAAAAATTAAATTACTGAAATATATATATATATATAATGTTGTACCTTAATTATTATACCGTAAGTGGAAAGTTCCGATCGTACTTTATCGCACGCCGTAAGTAAAGTTTTATCTTTCACATCTTGCTCTAAAATTTTGTTACGTACAGCACCTCTAAATTTTATCAAACATTCGATGACACTGTCCATTCTAGAATCATTTACTGCACTAGGATTTGAAATTCCGAATTTGAAAAGTATTTCTGATGTATAATTTAATACTGCAGCTACAGCAGGTATACAGGTTCTAAAAGTGTTCGTACTACCCTAAATTTAATACAACAGTACATTCTAAGTTCGTTGTTGAGAATATCCGAGTAAATCAATATTAGCTACTAAATATATATTTACCTGAGGATCATGCAACATTTTATTGACTACATTAATTAAATTTATAAGTGACTTCATGGCTTTTGCAGTGTTAAAATCATTTGCTAATGCAGTATTAATACTGTTTTTCGTTTCTTCCAAACACTGAAATATTAATTCAATAATGAATATGTATATGTTTTTATGTAAAATAATAAAATACAACGAGATAACTAACGCGGAATAACGTAGATTCATCTATATTGCCAGTATCCCAATTTCCAACGATATAATTATGACAGTCGCTAATAAAATGTTCAATTTTATGTAACACAGCTACCGCATTATTCATTATATCATAGGAAAATTGAAGTTCTAAAAAATGAATATTAAAAATATAGTTAATGAAATTTAGATTTAATATGAAATAATTTAATCATATATAGAAATAAATTATTGCAAACTATACCATTTTTATAATTCGAAAGTAGACAAAGGATTCTAAACTGATTTGCTGTATATTTTTCAAGGAATTTTCTTATACTGATGGTGTTTTTAAGGCTTTTTGACATTTTTTCGTGTTTCAAGGACAAATGTCCATAATGTACCCAATAATTTACCCACTGTTCTACTTCGTGATAACAACACGATTGTGCTTCCTCATTCTCATGATGTGGAAACATTAGATCTATCCCACCACTGTGAAAGTCTACGGAATTTCCAAAAATTGTGCTAATTGAAATATAAATTTTATATATATTAGCCTTAATAAGCATTATGATACAACATTTAAAACAGAAAGATTCTAATATGGCTCTCTACCTTGCAATAGTGCTACATTCAATGTGCCACCCTGGCCTTCCAGGAGCCCATGGAGACTCCCAAAATGGTTCACCTTCCTTAGCTGTTTTCCAAAGACAAAAATCTAATGGAGATTTTTTATCAGGATGAAAACTATCTGATATTGGAGTTGATAGCTTGCCATACATTCCGTATTTATGCGTATCAAAATAAACAGATCCTATAGGAAGAATAATTATCATTTACGATAGTTAAAGTATATAATAAAAATAATAGCTAAATTGTTACATTTTATATTTTACCATCTTTCGTAGTGTAAGCATTGCCTTTGTCTAGAATTCTCTTCACAAACTGAATAATTTGTGGTATATAATCAGTTACCCTACAATACAGATGAGGCCTTGCAACATTTAACATTTTCATATCTTCGATAAATTCGTTTTCATAATGTTTTGTTAGATCCTTATAATTTTGTTTTAAGTCTTTTGAGCGTGCTATTATTTTATCATCTATGTCTGTTACGCACATGGCCATTACAACATTTATATTGAAGTGGTCTGATAATATTCTCCTGATAATATCTGAATACACGTAAGTCCTATGAACGAAAGTTTAAAATGTTCTTTCACATTTTCATTATTTAATAACTAAATTATTGCAAACCTTAAGACAATATTATATTTTGTTCTTATGTTAATTTTAACAATCAAATAAAGGACCCTTTCCGAAGAATTTATTATTATCTTATATGGAATTGAAAAGAAAAGATAGACCTTACACTGCATGTCCTATGTGTGCCGAATCATATACAGTAGGTCCACAAAGATACCAAGTTAGAACAGCTTTATTTTTTAAAATTAACGGCACTTCACATTTTGTTATGGGATTGTAGATTTGAATATCTGTCTTATATCCTGTAGGCTTCAACCACTGTGCTTGTTTCTTTAACTTTGTCTCGGTATGTATAAATTGACAGCATGCTTCTCGTATTTTGTAATAAAAGACATTCTTTATAAATACATTCATTTTAGTGCTTTTTATTATTAAATGGGTATATTACACGATCATTGTTTTCTTATAATCAATTATGATTAACTGACATTTAATTTTATGGTTAACTTAACCTTAGAAAATTCGCTTCGCACTTTCCTATCCATATTAACTTCAAAGATTGCCAGATGCGGAGCGCTAGTGTTGAAAAACACATTTCGAAATTTGTTGAAAGTTGTGTCCCTGATAAGTGCTTCGCAGCTAGAATTAAGGGTTTGTTGTTTAAAAGATTAAGAATTTCAATGCAAATCGTTAAAGCAAAAAGTACTTTGATATATAGAAATTCATTGCGAAACTTTCCTACGTGTGACAAAGTGTAATAATTTTAATGTAATGAATTGCATAAACGTTTTAACGTTTATTTTATAATACGTACGTTTTTAACAGTAATACTGATGTACGAACTCGGTCAAAATTTTGTTTTAAATAATCAAATATTTTAATAAATTAATAGTTAAATAGTGGAATCATAATTTATATCTTTTCGTTTTTTTAGAAGGAGCAGAACATAACCTAAATTTGCAATTGACGTTGTATCTTTTCTTACAATTATTGTATTAAACACAGTTGTACGAAATGGATAAATCGATCTTGATGCAAAAGCAGGTGAAGGATAATGCGGAAGATTTACAGAAAGAATTTCTTGATATGAAAAATTGGGAGGAACAAATGAGATGTAAAGATGAGCAATTACGGAAAGAAAAAAGTGGTCAGGTACAAGTTATGAAATATTCTACATATATGAAATATTCATAGAAATGTATAAACTTATAAGGATGATTTTTGTAGATTACTTTACCACCGATTAGAAGTAAACATAAAAATAAAACCAAAAATTCGTCCATAAAGAAAGATCAAGGTGATAATAAGTCAAAGAGGATTAAATCACACGATTATTCTGCTTGGGAGAAATTTGATGTAGTAAGTTTATTACTGTGAATATGTATTGTGAATATTGAATTAAACATCTTTTTCTGTAAAACTCTATAAAACTTAGGAAAATTTTGATTTCTTGTAATATCGTTTCAAAGGATAAAGAATGCAGAAAAATAGATAATAACGAGCAATCAGACGATTCCGAAGATGAACATATGTCTAAAGAAGAATTAGAGAAAGCGCATCAAAAAGCAACAAAACATAAAAGCGATGGCAATATTTTGGTGCAACAACAAAAATGGTCTGAAGCAATTGGCTGTTATACAGAGGCTATAAAACTATTTCCATACGATGCGGTATTTTACGCAAATCGTGCACTCTGTCAGTTAAAACTAGACAAGTATATATGTCTTTTGATTATATCTGCATATTCAATTAAAAATTATCAGATGATACTAAAATATTACACTTTTCTGTAGTTTTTATTCTGCTGAATCTGACTGTTCAACTGCAGTTCAATTAGATGAGAGTTATGTAAAAGCTTATCACAGAAGAGCAACAGCTAGAATGAATCTAAAACAATATAAAGAAGCTAAACACGACTTAGAAAAAGTTTTGAAATTAGAACCTTCTAATAAGGAAGCTAAATTGTTGCTAAATCAAATCGAAAGCAAGATTAAATGTTCAGAGGTAATTAATAACTAAGAAACAAATTTTATTATTTAGTTAACATACTATTTAGCGATGCTATTTTGCACAGACAAGTACTATAGCGAAGGAAGGTACAAAAATGTCAACAATTGAAAAAAAAGATATTAAAAAGACTACGATTGAAAAAAAGATTTCTGAGAAAACGCGGTGGAACGATACTGCATCGAACGTACAAACAACAAAAGCCAAGAATATAATAAACGCTAAAAATATGGAGAAGAGTAAAGATAATAAAAGTGTTGTAAATGTTAAAGATAGTACAGAGAATGAAAAAGATAATGTGATCGATACTAATGCGAAAAGGGATCCACGTATTCCAGATTGGTTACCAGAGAAAGACGAAGTCATTGTAATAGAACCAATAGAGAAGCCTCCTCATTTACGTTCAAAGGTAAAATTACAACATTAACATCCATGCCCGAAAATATCTGAAGTTTTTGTCGATTACAGAAATCATTGACGAAAATACCTATCCAAGAAGTGGAATTTGGTATCGATCAGTATAGGTATACTAGTGGCAAAACGGCATATAACAACAAAGACGATCCTGTACAAACAAAAGAACCTCATAAAGATCCCGTGCAGAAAGTGGATATGTCGCAGAAAGATAACGTTGCGAAAGATAATACTTATATTAAAGTTTCTGAACCTCTGGAGGATATTAGTAATATTATACCTCCGATTCCCAAAACAGCTGTACAGTTTTTAATGAATTGGAAAAGAAATAATTTACCAGAATTTAGATATAAGTATTTGAAGGTAAGAACAATGTGTAAAAGTTCTAATTTTTTGATATACAAAGTATGCATTTTAATCTAATTAGTAAATCAAATTCCAGCAATTATCAGAGGGTAGTTTACCTAAAATATTTCAAGATTCAATGGAATCGGATATCTTTAGCCAAATAATAGAAGTTTTGGGAACGGAATTCGTAGGAAGGAAAAATCAGATATTCTACTACTTGAAAGATCTCAGTCGAGTTAAGCGATTTAGAGCACTCATCATGTTTACTAGTAACAGTGACAAAGAAAGTAAGCGTTATTGTTACAAAATTTGAAATAATATAAAGCGTTAATAATATTTTTCTTCAATTTTTAGACTTGAAAATATTGTTTGAATATTGCAAAACGGTGGAAAATGTGTCTGAAGATGAAATTTCAGCGCTACAAGATAAATATGAAATGTAGAAATAAATGCATAGTGATATGCAGGTATAAAAATATTTTTAAGTAATGTAACGATATTAAGTTATACGTATATATTTTGTATAAGTATTCCTGTTCGAATAAGTTTGAATAAAGGAACGGAGATTATTAGAATTATTTCTTAATTACTTGTGCTATATTACATTTCGTGTTACATTCTTTAGTGTTCTACGTACATATGTACAATATTTGACTAGAAACTTAGAGGAGATTGTACACTTATGTTATTTGTATTAAAGATAATGAGAAAATATTATCGTTTTATAGATTACGGTGAAATGAAATTTACACACGACCATTTAATAATGTTTGTATCCTTTGATCATTTTTCGTAATCTGCGATTTTGCTTGACATATTTTATCCAATTGTACTTTCACATTACGATCAATTTCTTTTAATGTTTCTTTCATAGGTTCTATTAATTCTTGCGTTTTCCTGAAGAAAAGAATCATATACGTGATTAAAATAAGCGATTTTAAACGATGCAAAACTTAATACGTATATTCTTACATCTTTTCTATTTTCAGTTGTTCATTTACTCGTTGATATTGGTTTTTCCATTCTAATAATTCTTTTTGCATGACTTCTATATCCTCCTGTTAAGAGTAACGTAAATTACACGTGTAATACTATAAAATATAATAAATCAATAAGTTACCTGAAAATAATCCAATAACTTCCCAAGTGGATTTGTCGCGCGTGTTAATGTTTGTATGGTGTTTCGTAGTTTATCAATTTCTTTTGCTACAGCGTCGCGTTTTGAATTTGTATCCCATGTCTAATATAACAAATATTATGTTTCATGTTACATTGAAATAGTATAATGTGGTAAAAATAATATTTTACGATAATGGTGAATTGTACTTACAATATTTGTTTTTTTAGGTATCACGTCTACATTATCATTATTAACCAATTCCTTTTGTGTTTCTAATATTTGCGCGACAAGGTGTCCATGTTCTTGCGTTAATTGACCATCGACTTTATAGTTGCCACTGTTTTCTAAGGAATCGCTACTAGTTACTCTGGTTTCCATAACTACCATGTCTTCAGCGTCATCATCGTCATCCTTAAGATCAGAATTCTCCACAATGACGCTAATGTTTCCCATAGGCGTTCTGGAAAATGAAGCAGTAATAGTTTATATTCTCTATAAGATCTTTTACATACAGCGTATTAAAATGTGTTCTAACAGTATTTCTTCGTTAACTATTAACTCTGCTTTGCCTCGTATTCTAGGTGCTGCAGGTCTGGCACTAATCGGTCTCGCAGTAGGTGGACGTAAGGAAGTTCTTGGTCTAGAATTTGATCGTGGAATACTGTGAAAGTATTTTATCAAGTTATCGTTAAATATTACAAATATTAATTTTTCATAAGATACAGTTTGACGCGAACGCGATACCTGGCATCGTTATTTTCTGATTGAAACATTTGTGTCTCTGATATCGACTGACCAGATTTTTCTATGCTTTGTAAAGAAGCTTCGTTATTTACTATATCATTTTCCTTGTACTCCACCTTGTCTATATTTTCATCTATCTTATTATCTCTGATGTTCGGCGCAGATTTCGATTCTGAATTAACAGAGTTTGACGTATCGAGTATTTGATTTTGTAATTCGTTATTTTCAGCATTTGTCATATGTTTCGACTTGTTCTCGGATTCTTTTTGTTTTTTGTTTTCGTCGATTCGCTTATCCGACTGCAGAGTTTCGGACAAAGGCGTGGAGGGTCTATTCTGTTTGAGTTTAGCGGACGAAGAGCTTTTTCTATGCGCGGATGCAGGAATTTTTTCTTGGGCTGGCTAAAACATGTAATTTCAGTCACGCTTTTTCATGTTCATAATCTAAGCGTAAGATATATTAAATTACCTCGACACGTGGTACTTCCGCAGCTTCGACATTTTTTTGAGAATCTTGATTTTCATTTTTACGCGTTGCTTCGCGTATCGTTGAATTATCTTCGTTAACAGCTTTTTTTTTTCGTTCTACAGATTTTTCTTTCGACGTTGAAGCCCTTTTTTGGGACGTTTCTTTCGACGATGATTTTCTTTCATCTTTTGCTACAGACAGCTTACTTCTTGAACTAGATTTGCCTTTTCCTAAATTCTTCTTGTACCGTTCGACGGCTTCCGCGCTGCTTATCTGTTTAATTTGTAAAACATTTTCAACTTTACCGTGTCATTGGTTTTTTTATATTTGTAAGTAATCGCATAGCCATTTGTGCTTCTTACGGTCGTAGAATCGTTACCTTCTTGTCTAAAGCTTTTCCAATTGCTTGCAATAATTCATTTGTTTTAGCTGGTTCCTGGCCTGAGATTATCTTGCTGGCTCGTACAGTTAAATTAGCGCCGGTAATCAGTTCTGAAATTATTGCCTAGTACTAGTATTTGAATACGTCGAAGAACGTTATACATTTTATGATACAAGGAAAATAATAACTTACTCACGACGTCGATCAGTTTCGTTAAATAGGCAAGTTTCGCCTCTTTGTTTTTTATATTTTCCGAATTTAGTTCCTCCTCTGTATACAAACCGTCCAGAAAACCAGTTTCGTTTATGACCTATGATATACCATTCGTTTATTAGTTATAAAAGCATCGATTATATTCATGTTTTATTTACAGCCAGAAACACGAGCAAAAGATACGTTACTGCTGAGACGATATCGTGAAGAAATCGAAACGGTGGTTTCCTTAGTAATTTTTCGGTGAGAGGTGGCTTTTTGAAGTATTTGCCGAGTAAATCTTGAGTGTTTTTAATCGTTTCAGGTTTTACGTCGTCTGCCATTGTTAATCACAAATAAAACATACCACTGGTTACACTGTCTTTCTCACAACCTTGCTGAACTTTGTATGCATCAAATGGTTACTTGGCAACCAATGTATGACCAACATGATAGACCGGATCTATTTGACAGAGTGGAATTTTACGAATAGTTTTTTTTTTTACCAATATGCGTATTATCGTTCTTCTTATCTTTTTATCGGTTGTTTCAATGACATACATACATAAAAAATAGATCATTGTGTAGAAACGTAGAAAAATTTGTATTTCAGGTAAGAATAAGGAAATGGAAAGGATAAGAAGGGACTGCAAATGCTATAACTAAATAATAAATATCGGTATAAATACAACTACTCGGATCAAAAACGATCATTTAGAGAATTAATCTTATACCATTGAACGAATCTATCTATTCTTCGCCTCTAAAATGCCATAAGTTCAACAATTTAAATAGCCCGAAAGAAACTAAAATATTCAATCTACCTCTAATTAAATTATTTTAATCCGGTCGTATAATCTTGCAAAAATTTGAGTCTAAAAAGCTTACATCCAGCGAATAATAATTAAAAAGCGTTAGTTTTAGGTTCGCATCTCCTCAACTTCCTGTTATCATTCAGGCTAATAACTGGATGACGACGAGCGAATGGAGGAGCAGAGGAGCGGGCTACGAAACCCGGAGACCGGTGTACAATCGTATAGTGGAAAGGGAGGCGGATAAATCAGCGGACGTCGAGGCGTTAGCGTTTTATAGTGCATTAATTAGTCCGTGATGAGGAGGCGGATAAAAAGCTTTTACAACGTTATAAATGCAAAAGGTGGATAGGATCGTTCGTAGGACTCGTGGAACGCGATCCGCCATTTAATTTCACCTTCTTTTTACGGTGACCATCGTTCATGTCGTATTTTACAAGGTATGTATACGCGGTGGTGTGTCCACGTATGACACACTCAGGCCGAACCGTTTATGGCTTTACTACATCCTCGCGCCTCCGCTGTTTCGCGTTACCGATGCGTGCTTTATTGCCATCGCTTTATTAGGCTTTCGTTTAATTGGCCGGCTGTATCGGTTAAGTTTCGCATGCTTTCCTTGGTTATGGGCTAATCGTGCTTTCTAACGAGCTTCGTCTCTTGTTTCAGTACGTTCTATCGACCTTTTTTGTGCGAAATTAGAGCCACTTTACGATGCTTCGCTAGATGAGATTCCTATGCCTAATGGATCGTTCTAGATCGAATTTGCGCTTTTTTCATCTTGATCGATGGACGCATTTATGTCGTCGAAGATGCTTGCCGATTGAACGGTAAAGATATCGCGAAAGAACGAGTGGATTTTTTGCCGTCGAACGGGGCAAATGTATCTATATAAATAGGTGCGTGGGAAAGAGAAGTAGGTAAAAATGACGGATTTGAACGATCCGGGTACCTCTTGCTTCGGCACGATGGATAAAAAAAAGGATTTTTAATTTTTTTTTAAGGTTACTAGCCATTTCACTTTATTAGAATACGTCAAAGTTTCTTTGACTAAATTAAAGTTAAATATCGTACATAATAATATGGCATCGTCCCGCTCTCAAAACGAAATCATACACCACACACAAATTACACGACAGAAAAATCTCAGTATTCGGAGATCACAAAACCGATGAACCTGTTGAAAATCATCGAAACTGATAGAACAGCTACGTCAATGAGTTTCCTTTATCGTATTTTATCGTCCCGTTATTACGCATAATATCGATGATTTCCTTTCTTCTTCTTCTTCTTCTTCTTCTTCTTCTTCTTCTTCTTCGAAAGGACAGATCATCGATGGTGTCGAACGCGGAAGAATGAATAAAAATAATTTAATTATAAATTATCTTAACAGACTTACGTTTAACCTACGATATTCCGGTCAACAATACATAATCGACGATTCATACTAATGTTACATATAATTTATACTTTTTCTCCGTATCGATAGTACAACGACGATCGCTTTAATTTTCGAGATTTTCGCGTATCTATAAAGGTGTACCGATCTTATCGACCTTTTTCTTTTTATTCCTTTACGTTAACGTAATTTCTCAAGCGTCGAACTTGGCGCTGTTCCACCTTTTTTGCTAAACTATGTTACATTTCTCTTTAACGGACGTAGTTTAATCCCCTTAAAACGAGAGTTTAATAAATAAGTTTTGTACAAGACTAAATGGTTTCTCAACGATTCGTTATTCCGAGAATGAAGCATCTTTCTAAATAAAGTATTTAGAAGTTCTTTTCGTATCGATAGATCGGAAAGATACAGAGCCACGAATATTTAACATAAGCCTAGCCCGATTTCATCGTCGCAACATCCATCGATCGTTTCGACCATACACCTCCCTCTCTGTCCTAGCTCGTCCATCCGTTTCATCTTCGACCGATCGCATCTTCATCCTCCACCACATTCACCATCCGAACATCGTCATGCTTGATTCCGTGCGTCGAAAATTCTCCCAAATCCAGACGATCATCTGTTAGCCTCTATCTTATCGGATCTTGAGATAGTCTTCTTTCCCTTCGTTCTGTTTATCTCTCGGCCGCGATCCTTCAGATTTCCTTGTTCAGGATAATTCCACAGGGTTGAACCACCCCGAGATTCGTCAATTTCGGCCTCTTCGAGGTGCTTTTGCCTTCGTCTTTCTTCAGAAGCTCTTCTATCGAGTAAGGATTCCTTTTTCTCTGAGGTTGCGCCGGTCTTTCTTCGACCGCCGCTTCTTTGGCCATGGTGCTCTGCTCGTTTCCCGTTTCCAAGATTCGCGGAGACGCTATTTTCTGCTTGTCGCCGTTTGTTGGCGGTGGACTCTGTCGATTCTCGAGGTTTCCGGACGAGCCGGACGTACTGTGTCTGACGAACGCGCTACGATCGCTGCCGATCTTCTGGCCGAGTTCTAGGATTATAGGCGAATTTTGGAAAGGCTTGTAGTGGTCTTGGGACTCCGTGTTCTCGTCCAGGTCGCTCTTGTCCAAGGAGTCGTCGCTGCCCGCCATCGAGCTCGAGCTGGATTTTAAATCGACCTGGTTCGTTGGTCCGCTTTGTTCCGACAGACGTTCCACGTCTAACGATCTGCAACAGATATCTAATCGGTTTAATCGGAACGAACGCGCGTAATGGATCGATCGTACGTAGCGCGAGATAATAAGCGACGTCTTTGTTACCGATCCGTTTTTCCAGATTTAATAAAAAAAAAAAAAAAAAAGAAAAAGTCCAATTAAGGGGGCCACTCGAGGAAACAGAAATCGATTAAACAACTTGGACTTACGTGAACGATTGCATTCCATGATGCAAGTGCAGCGTAGTCGCTTGATAAAGAGACGAGTAAAAGCTTGGATTCCAAGATGGTGCGCTGGTATTACCGGATGTTGTGGAAATGTGCAACGGTCCCAGTGATCCCGGATAAAATAATTGGTAATCCGTTCTCATGAGTGTGTCTGAGGGTAAAGATAGAATACATCGTATGATACAATGTAAATTTAACCAAGAAAAAGAAATTACGATTTAGCTCGTTAACGTTTAACGCTTTCGTTATATTATTTTATTTTATTAACGTGCTTCGTCGCTCTTATTTGTCACAGAGCGTTACGCGAGACGTACAAGGTTTATTTAAGGCGATCTTAACGTCCATATTTTTACGTAACTCGCGTCACTTTAAATTAAATCGACGCAAACAATGTGGTCGTGTTTATACGATAAGGAAGAAACAAGAAGAGATTGCGAGATGATTTCTTCTTCTTCTATTTTACGCGTCGTTTTCCATCGTTCTCGACGAAATCATATTTTGCCATCGTTAGAAGATTTCGCGAGTTCGACCTGTTTGCAGTCGCGCGTTAAACACTTTCCCGATCGAAGTTCGTCGATGATCGTCGGAGGAAAGATGGAATCGTATTATCGCGGCGAAAATGACTGATTTATCGGAGTGTTAGAGTTAGCAAGGTGATCGGACCTTGCAATTAACGTTAAAATCGAGAGAAACACCGGCCGTGGAACAGGACGAACGTATCACGACGTTCGATCGACGCAAATTTCGTGACGCAGCCTCGTTCTCGGTAGGTGAAAAAGAAGACTACGACGTTATAGACGATTTACGGTATAAACGAGGTAAATTTCGAGGCAAATTTCGAGTTGCTTTAAGGGATTGCGTGTCGTTCATCACGCTGCAGCACGCTGACGAGTCAATCGGCCACAGGGTATTTTACGAATTCTTCTTCTTTTTCTTCCTTTCTATCCTTCTTTCTTCCCCCTTCGTTCGTCCTTTCTTTTCCCTCTAATCGTTGCATCGCTGCATCGGTCGCTTCCTCTTCTTCTTTCTCTCGTCGCTGCTCGTCTATATGGAAGCGAATCGTAAAAAGGACAAAAACAATGGAACAAAATTCGGACAGTGATTCCGAGACACGGACAGATGTTTAGGGGATCATTAGCCGATAATGGCGCACTCGCGATGCAGCTTTCTCTCGCATAATGAGCCGATTTCGACGTTTCGCTATCGTCCAGCTTTCGAACGATCAGCTGACACTTTGGTGCGATCGTTCGTGCAATCGCGATCTCTTTCTCGAGAATTCGCGCGATTACGCGAGACGGGCCGGCTATTTGCTAGAAAAATTTCGTAGAAAATCGTTTCGGCGTATCTCGAATTTCAATTTCAATGCGCAATTTCTCTCTCCTATTAATTTCATTTATCGCGTATTTGGCGATAATTCTCACCTCTGTTGGCGACGTTCGAGGAAACTTGCGAGGCGTACGTGCTGGCTGAACCACCCTCGATGCCCGTGTGATCCGTATGAAGTCCACCGCCTCGAAGAATTCGATTTACCGAGGAGACGGACGGTAAGCTTTGAGGATCGCAAGCTCCTTGTCGCGCCAGCTGTTCTCGGATCTCCCAAGCGAACATGGTTGGTTGTTCTTGTTTCATTCGTAAAATCTTCTTCACGACGGTGGGGGTGGCCACTTGCTGCAATAAATCGAAATTACAAACGTACGAATTAAAGGAGAGATTCGTTTGGAAAGCACACAGAGATCCTAAAGTCGTCGTATTAGACATCTTTCGAAATATTCGCGCGAAAGAAAGTTGACAAATTGTCTGGAAGATAATTGCTACGCATGCCCGTATTCGATACACGGTAACCGATTCGATTCGGTAACGTATTCGTCGAGTTTGTCAACTTTATTAAACGACCATACTCGAAGTTTAACGACGCGCCGCTGTAGTAAATGTCAATTAACGCAGCTAAATTTGGCGATTTCGCATATAATATAAGGCCAGGTATATGGAAGAATGGCTACCGTAGCAATGTCGCGAGATAGCAGCCGATTCTTCGAAAAGAAGCGATTTACATCGTGTCGTTATTTTGCAAGCTCGAACGTCGCTGTTTGCGATACTTGTCGGGACATAACGCGATGTTATCGATTCGATATCGACTCTTCCATCCCTTCGTAATTTCTTCTCGCCATCTTCCTTAACCGAATTATCGGATTTTATCGACGATACGCGATAAAGTCCTTGTGGCGAGATATACGAGTACGTCCGATCTTTTTCTCACCAGCGAAGAATCGCTTTGTGGCAAAGAGAAACGTAAAATGTAACACCTGCAAGGTCGTGCGCCGCGAAGAAGTTGCCACCTTTTCTCACACTCATTTTCCTTTTTAATCGTTTCTATCTTTTTGGTTGGCAATCGAACACGTAACGCTATACTCTCGATGTCTCGTATGTCCCTTTATATTACGCGTATTCCGCTGTCTAATTACGACGAATGTTTCTTCGTTTTCGGTGTTTTCGATATTCTCGCGTATCAACGTGGTCTAAATTTCACGAAAAGCATTCGTTTAGACAGACGCCGTTCGAACAGACGTTCGAAACAGACGTTCGGACAAAAGTCAAAAAACTAACCAGTCTATATTACGCTCTATGGAGGCAACACGGTCGTTCGTACCATCTTGTAACATCATCGACGATTAGATTCGAAGAGAGAAATTTCCCACTAAAATTCCACACTACGGTATCCTCGTTCCTATCTAGAAGATTTTTCCGAAATAAAAAGTGTTTTCTAGCGGCGCTTTCTGCCGCGCAGCGCGAGAATCTATCGGGCCGAAAAACATTCCCAAGGGACGTCGCAACGTTTGGACGGTCGCCGACCGTTGCCGATTATCAACCCGATGGTTTTTCCATCCGGCTGGGGACTCGGCGCTATCTCATCGACAAATTAACGCGAAAGTGGTCACACTGTCGTCGAAAGGGGCAGCGAGCAGCGGCCATATGTCGTTCACAGGTGAAGCACGCTGGTTGCGCCGGTGGATCAGATAACGGGTAAAGATCGCAAAGGTAGGTGGGTAACGCGTACCGCGCTTTATTACAGTTTAGCCCCGGTTTACCGAGGAGGCGGGCTCATCCGCTCCTCGCAGACGCGTCCCGTTTCTTTTTGACGGTCCCTTCGAGTGGGCCCAGTGGTGCTCAATCTGGCCACCGTTCATTTGACTTGCTAATGAAGTTGCGCGCCCGGGCCTCGCATAATTTTATGCTAACGCGATGGAAATGTTATTCGTCGTACACAGATTTTCGAGATCGCCGATTTCTCCGGGGCGGCCACGCCACCGACACCGGGCAGAACGATAACCACCAAGAGGTTGGGGATCGTTTCTTGTCAGATTTTCTGCGCAGGGGGCATCGAGTGCGTTATTTTCTTCGTTCCAAGCTCTTTTTCTCGTTATCGTATTTTATCGCTGTCTTATTGCCTATCGCTTCGATGAACCTCCCTTGGAGTTGGCTATCGTTGCGTTATAACGAAGATACGGCCTGTTACTACGAGTACGTGAACACTACCGATTCGACGATCAACAGCGGTGGTGGTTGGGCACTCGCGATGCTAGCGACGTTGGTCTTACGTTCGATAACGAATTCACGGTCAACGGGATGACAGATATATACTTGCTCTAACTCAAACGTGTAGTACTCACAGATCGTAAGGCGTTACTCTCTTCGTCGATGAAATCGCAAGAAAGACTGAATTTTCGTCCCGAGGATGCCATCGAGGAAAACTATGACGGGGTGTGTCTAAGGACACGAGATCATCGGATTCGTCGAGTATAGTCCTCGTTCCGAAAGTAAGGGAAATCGACGTCGCTGTCAATTGGTCAATTGGTCGGACTGCTTGTCCGTTTGAAGAACCTTAATTACGAAAAAAACCCAGGTTTTATAGCGGGTCCTCGGGCTAACTGTACTCGTGCCGTGCAAGTGTCTCAACCTCCGGTATTCGTTGTCCGAAGGACCCGTTGGAACGTTTTACTGTCACGTACCTCTATTGGTATTTCTTTTAATGATTTTCTCACACTATAACTCCGCACCTTTGTTAGGCGAAGCGGTCGTCCCGTTGACCGTTCGGCGACGGATGGTCGCCTTAAGCCCAAGTTTATTATCACAAATCGCAAACAAGTATAATTGGGCAGAATGACGGCAAATTGGGAAAATCCGTAAAATTGTAATTAAAGTTTACAGCTGTAATTAAACAAAGTTCCAGAGGGAAGAGTCCTTTCATCTCCGACATACATATTATTTCGTTTGTTTTAACTTTACCTTGTTCTATATTCGATCTTTTTCGTTCTTTTAACTCGAATCGTCTTACGACTATGTTTTAACTTTCATTATCCGTTGTACGATCGTAACAATCGTACGATCGTTCGTTGGATCTCATTCCGAATAATAGCGTACGATGTGCATCTTAATCCTTTAAGCACCGCTACATTTCCATAAATCGTTTCCTCCTAAACGTAAAAAAATAAAGATAAAAAAAAAAAAGGCTAAATAGCACGCAGTTTCCGATACACGACGTCGCTCGTTCGTGTTTCACGAAATTTTCGTTTCGTCGTCTATCGACGACGGTTTCCCTACTTTCCATATTTTTTAAACGTCTCGATCGTGCATCGATGGCGGTAAAGTTATCGATATACACATTTGCATTATATATCGTAGGTTCTGCGTCGTCTAACGTGTTTCCGTCTAACGTTTTCGTTCTATCGTAGCTTGTTTAACGATAATTGTTAACGCTAACTTTCATCGAGATATAGAGAAATGACGCGAGTGTAAGGTATCGTTCGTCGCGATACATGGCTGGGCACTTCCGTTGGTTACCAAATTATACCTTTGGTTACCTAGTAAATTACCCAAAGCATGTAACGCAAGAGTGTCGTAACAATTCTCGACTCGTTTCAAAATGTCCTACCAAACGACTCTAATGACTCGTAGAAAATATCTTTGTAACAACGATCTAACGAAAGCGTATTAATTTGAACGAACGATGCTAATGCGTATTTCGCAGTATATAGTTTATAAAATGTTCAAAATCGGAAGAAATGACATAAACGATCAACGTTGACATAAACGAATTTCGAACATTTCCTAAAGCGTACTGTAAAGTGTATCGAACTGTAAAATATCGTTTGACGTTGTTCGTTCATATTGATGTACTTTCGTCGAATCGTTATTACCGAGGAACGCTCGAACCGCGAATTAATAGCGAGTCTCGATCGATACTCCGGTATGGCGGTCGTCGATCGAACATTCCCTGGATTCTATTCGTCTTCTGTGAACAAGAGCGCACGTTGAACGATGGGAAGAGCGGCCGGTGTGTGTCTGTCCATTGAATAGGGCCGATATGGGAGCACCACTGTTGTTAGCCAGAACGTTTAAGGGGGCAGCCGTCTCCCCGTCCGCCTAATAGTTTCAGGGGTTAGGACAAGCATCGCGTGCTCCCAGGAGCATCTCAGATTCTAATCTGACACTTCCGTCGTCATTGCCACAATTACCCCGGCCCACGATATACGCGTCCTAATGCCTACCCTCTCGCGTTGTACCGCGTACCCTTGAGCGGCCCCCGAGCGGCCGCTACGGGTTGCTTCCCGGCGACGTTCGTCGACGGTGTGTCTTTCGTGTGCGTGCCACGTCGCACTACACCGCACCGTACCACACCGCGTCACAAAGGAAATTGGTCGCATGGACATCTGGCGCTAAACGTTAGATAACGTAAACTATCGAACAGGTTGACCAACTCGGTAATTACTGTCCGAAGGGCTGTCCTCTGTCGCTTTTGGTATACGGGGTTGCTCCAATTGTCGTTGGCGATAAGACGCGCGTGGAGATGGCTTAATAACGTCCTTTCTTCTTTCTTTTTTTTCGGCGGACGAACCAGGTATCCGGACATTTTTTTGGCCGATCGTCGCCAGTTCTCGGCGATCGTTTCGATATCAACGTTCCTCCGCTTCCTTTTCGTCGGACGGTTGAGCGATATATTGGGCCGAAGGGTACGCGTTTGTCGTTGAGGTTGCTGGTTAAAGGTGGTTAGAGGATTTTCAGGTTTACTTCGATTTGGCTTTTAACTGGCGCGACTTTTTAACGTCGTATCGGCCGTCGATAGAAGAATGTCTCGAACGTAGGAAGATCGAACCAACGAACTCGCGGAACGGATTAACCGTTTCCCAATGCCTTTTTCTTTATACTCAAAATCGTTCGTTTAAAGTTTTCGATCGTCGAACGTTAACGACTATTTACTCGAACCGGTATCAGCTGGTATTTGAGTTATACCGCAGGTTGCGAATTTTTCGCCATTAATTCTCTAATCAATTTGCTACGATACGATCGGCAAGAAAGTTATCGATCGACAAGCCGCGTTAATTAGCACGTTGATCCGTAAACGGAACGAGCTCCGATGTGCGCGATCGCTGGCTGTTTATTCTGGTCGTCGCACAACGTTTAACCGGCTGTTACTAAATCATGCATCGAGAAATAAATACCCATCCGTCAGAAAGCTCAGGCGCGACTCGTCACCGTGTTCGCGCGAGATCTTAATTACCAGATAAATGGAAACGCTTGCGACGGAGGAACGGGAATCGTCCTGGGGAAAACGAGCGTTCGCATGCGACAATATTTATGACGTATTCTTCGAGAGAAGTCCGACGAATGTA